GCCGCCAGAGCCGCTTCCCGCGGGGAAGGCCGGGGATCGCGGCGCGTCCCGCGCGCACGAGCGCTGCGAGCAGAGCCCGCGGAGCGGAGCGCCCGGGGCGGTGAGCGAGAACCGACCAGGAGCAGAGGGAGGGACACGCAGGAACGCTTTACTGCGATCTACCGCGTCTGCGAAATAGAAAGGGAAGCCTTATTTGGGCTTAGTTTACTGCCTTAAAACCTTTAATATGACCATTTTTTTTCTTTAATGAAATAAAAGCTCTGAAAAGACTGCTGTGGAGTCACCATTAGTAGATTAATCCATATACAGACATACATACACACAAAACCAGTCAACATACAGAAGTTTGTATACACTAAAGACATGAACGTGCAGTTCCCGTGGGTTCCCTGTTTGCTCCCATGGGCACTCAGCTCTCCCTTCTCCTGGAACGGGGGGTGCAGCCCCTGTCCCAGGACACAGAGCGGGTCTGCCCACCGTCCTCCTGGCTGCGGGGGTCAGCGCACTGCAGCGACTGCATCCACGCTCTGCTAGAGCGTCAGCGCCAGGAGAAGGCTCCGAAACGTGTCAGTCCTCTAGTTAGAGCTGGCTGTGTGGGAGGCGCATTCCGTGCAAGGTGGCCTAACTCCCAAGGTGCAAATAATCAACACTCAGGAAATCTAGGGAAAAATGAGGGGTTGAATTTCCTGGAAAAAAAAAAAAAACAAGCCTCACGTGCTTGGCTCTTCCCGTCAGTGCACACATGGAAAAAAAAGTCTGTTTTCCTCATTGCACGTAAAGGCGCTGTGGATTGGCGGCGGCGGCCGCGCTCCCTGCCCGCTCTGCGGGAGCGTTCCTGCAGCTGGAGCAAACCCGCGGCGCAGGGCGCGCGTCCCCGCGGCTGCCCTGGGCCGTGTCCTCAGAGGCCAGTTCCGCTACGGGCTGAAACACAAGCAGGAACCGTCTAGAGTTTCGCTGCTCTCGTGTCATTGCTGTGGCCGCGGGCGCGGGCGGCCGCCGCTCTGTTTGCCCAGGGCCGTCACCGCCGGGCCCGCCGTGGAGGGGGCGGCAGGGGGGCACGCGAAGCTTCGGTGCCCGAAAACAAATATGTGCAACTCGACGTGTTTACAACAGAGCTTTGGTTCAATCTAGAAACGCTCCTCTCCCCCGGCCGCGCTTAGCCAGGCCACAGCTCGCAGTTTTAGCAGTTAACAGTCGCGGTTTATTTCACATAAATGCTATAAAAATAGATTCTGCTGCCTGTTCCCGCAGCTTCCAAATCACGAGATTTATTTTCCCTCATATCCAGTACTGGACGTAAACACCTGAAGTCACAGCAGAAGCTAAACCCAAATTAAATCATATCCATGACTAAGCAGCAGTTTGTATTACTTCTACTTTCACTTCTTTAAAAGAAGGAAAAGTACTGGGGTCCTTTGGGCATTCATTAATTAGGAGTTTGAGTACATTTATGATGTGCATTTTAACTTCTGCAGATTGCTTAGAGCATTGAAAAGCATTTTATATTTTCAGCAACTGCACTGTAACTTTGAGATTTAAATCCCCCTTTGGATTTGTTGCAGAAGCCCCGTGAAGTGCAGGACTGCAATAATTATAGTTCTTAAAGCACTTATGGATCCTCAGAGCAGCTACAGCCACAAGTAACTTCAAATCCCCGTTTTCTGCTAGCTCTATCGCATCTCGGGCCAGCGTCGTTCCAGAACCCTTCTCATTTCTGACACTGCAGCTGGCCAGGCAGGCTGCAGCGCGGGCCCTGCTCCTGCACGC